GATAAAGTGCATCAATCCGTGGATAAAATGGTATAATCTTTCGAGAGCCAAAATGATCTGCAGAAGAATGACGGTAAAGAAGAAACCGCTAATTATGTTCGATTTTATTGTATGCATAACATTCTAATATATAGCTAGATTCATATATATGTACCAATGTATACCTATATATACCAGTATATACACATTTCCAGTTTTGTTCAAGAGCCGAAGCAAAAGGATAGTAAAATGTCTACGGTGATTTCTCATTCTTGTTTTATTATTCTTATTTGAGAATACTTTTCCTCGCCTTGTGAGGGTTCTTGCTTTTTGAGGTTCAAGAGAGCGGATCAAGCCGCAAAACGTTTCTTAGCATGCGAATATTATAAAGTGTTTTTTTTTTCTTTTTTTTTCTAGTTGTGCTCTGTAGTAGGGGAAGTGGGTGGTATATATATCTTTTTTCAAATACAAGATGGCACAACATTCTCTGCTTGTGCTTCTTTTTCTATTTGTCTCCGTTTTTTTTTTGCTGTTGTTCTTTCTTTTAACATCTTTTTGTTATCCCTGTTCTTCTTCTGCACCTTCTTTTCCTATTTTGTTGTGTTCAGTGATCTTTAATGATAGTTCCACCCCCATGGGAGAACGATACTCCACGGGAGTTGCCGCAGCCCTCTGCTGGTACATTTGACGAACTCTTCTGGAGTGTTGTGCACACATACACAGGCCACACACACGCAAGTTTGCAGCTATTGCAGGAAGGAGGTGCGGCGCTGAGTAAAAGTCTTATCTCCGGATCATCATCTGTGTACGATGTGGTACGTCCTATTGTGCCCCCACAGTTACAGCAGGTGGATTGTATTCCAAAAGTAGTGCCAATGGAAGATCTTCCCAATGTGGAATGCTGCAGTGATGCTAACGCCATCATAATACTGCGGAAACGATGTTTTGAGTACGGTGAGAGTGTGGCCCACCTGCTGTGGCTTACAAAAGAGTTTTCGGGAAGATGGGGTCGCCTGCGATTAGAAGAACGGGAAGAACTTCATGCAGCCCTCACAAGGGAGCGAACTACGCGAATACATGATGATGATCTTCGGGCATGTTTCTCTGATTTAAACTTCTCAAACAAGGGATTACACCGGCTCACACCAGATATCACACGCTTTGCCAATCTCACCACACTAGTATTAAGTAATAACCCAGAGCTTACATCTATTACATATCTCCCACCTGCTTGTTTGGTGCTTATAGCGTGTGGGTGCTCTATCAAAGAAGTGTGTGCTTCTAAGACTATAACTTTTCTGGGACTTGCATATAATATGGTGGAGACGCTGGATTTTCTTCAGGGTCTTCCAGAGCTACGTGTGCTCGACCTCACACGAAATTCTCTCTTTTCAATTGAAGCAACTGTAGAGGCAATACAGAAACAACCCCTCTTAGAGGATGTTACCTTCATTGGTAATCCCATGGCATTACTACACAACTACACGGAACAGATGATGATGGGTTGCCCACGGCTACAACGACTAGATCATGTACCTACTGTATATAATACTACTACTACTGCAACAACTAGTTCTGCTATTAATGCTGCCAATGGCAACACCAACACCACTACCGCCACCGCCTCCGCCGCTACTGCTATTGCAGCTAATACTACTACTACTACTACTACTGGACAAGTTAAACGAATGGCAAATAGTACTCTTCCTGTTCCTGCCGATGGAGAAGCTCCAGTTGCAGCGTCAAAAGATGAGGTGAAAGATACATCTCCTTCCGTTTTGCTCTCTGTACAACTACTACAAATTGAAGGACTTGGTGCACTGACACACACCCCAGTAACTGTTGAGGAACCAGGACTTTTAGCACAACAGGAGACAAAGGGAACAAAAGGGAAAAAGAAAGCCAAAGCAGCTCCTGTTGGACCAGCTTACGAATGGACTACACGTATGTCACTTTATGGTTGTTGGGGTGGAAGTAATGCTCTCCTTGTGGCATGTGAAGATCTGGAGTTATTACCAGACGCATTATTAGGGGCACAACAACAGCATCATATTAGTAAGAAGAAAGCACAAGCGGCCGCAACAGTTATTGAAGATATATTACATTTAAACCATACTGTTAACACAAGAGTACCTCCCAGTGCTGCACTTTCACAATCTCTTGAACAACCCTTTTTTCTAAAATTGGAAGTTCATGATGAAATACGGTTCCCTAGCGGAAATACCGTGAAACTGTCTTGCCCAATTGGAACTTTCTATGCAGATGCTTCAGGTCTTCTTGTGAGCACAACACCGCCTCCACGCCGCATTACATTGCAGGAAAGACTTCTTATTAGTGAGTCTGCACTGGAGGAAATGCGAATACATGTACATGAACTCCGTGATCGCGCTGCCACCTCTATAGATACCCTTACACAAATTACTTGTTCTTCTGAAACGCCTCTTACACTCTCTGGAACACGTGGAAGTTCACAACGTCGACGGAAAAAATCTGTCTCAGTAACTGGTCGAAATGCGGCAACAGAACAGTTATTTACAGAGATGAAGAAACGTGAAGAAGAAGTGGCGGAGTTACAATTGTTGGCGAATATTGAAGAACGGCGTATGGAGGAGTTGCAGCGAGCAGCACTGATGATAACAGTGGAGTTTTCACTTGGCTCTCCACCACAGGTTGTGGAACCGTTGGATCCTTTATCAAGTTCAACCGCACGTAGTAAATCTTCTCGTCGCCGGCCTGCGGAAAAGAGTGAATCGGTAAGACGACAACGATGAATGTATAGTATGATTGGTGGATTTGCACTTTTTTTTTTCTTTTCTTTTTTGTCTTTCTTACAATTGGAATAGTTGAATGTCATATTACAGGTACGTCCCATTCTCTTCGGATGGGAGAAGAGAATGAGTACGATTATCAGTGTATCCTTCTTCACGTATCTTGTTTTGTGTTTTTTTTTTTTTCCCTTCTCTTTCTCCCTCTTATGGTATGCTTATTTCAAATATATATATATCTTCTGTGTTTTCTAATTGCGGTTACTGTTGTTACTGTGCTGTTTTGCGATGAGGAAATGCTGTGAATCCTTCTTCCTTTCTCCTTTTTCCTTTCACAATTAAAGTAATTTTCTGTTGAAGAGGTCAGGATACCATAAGGTTTGGTATAGTAAAGAAGGAACAACAACAACAGAATTAAAAAAAAAAAGAAAATAGCTGTTTTTAAAGGAGTAAAAGGGAAATATGTCGATAATGCGTGTGTTCAGCGTAGTATTGTTGCTACTCTTGTTTTCTCTGTGTACACATTCCTCTGTTGCTGTTATTAACGCTGCTTCGGTAGTCGGGGAGCAACATCAACATCAACAACAACAACAAGAGGGTTTGAATGATGTGAAACCAGTCACTATTCCACTATCACCAATAGTGAACAAACCTGTTGAGAAGTGGACTGTGAGTGATGTGGAGTACTGGATGAACTACACCGTAGGATATGCGGAGTACAGTGGGTTTGTACGCAAACACGGTGTGGATGGTCCAACACTGCTGGCAATGGATGGATCTGATTTCGAGGAACACTTCCCTATAGAGAACGCAATGCATGCGATTAAATTATCAGCACATTTAAAACTTCTACAGGGACTTTGTCTATGCAAGACAGATGATGCATCAATGGAAAAGGTAGTGGATTTATGGTCATACTTTAAAAAAGAGAATTTCCGTGTTTGGGTGGTGGGAATAACGTCTTTCTTCTTTCCACGTTTATCCATGCTGTACACATTTTTCTTTGACGATGAGCTGTATCGGATGCTTCTCGGTGTTCCTAGCTCTCCATCAAGTGCGATGACGGCTGCTGCTGCGGCTGCTGGTGTTGGAACTCCAACCGCAGGAGGAAAAGGAGGAGAATATGATACATTATTAACAACACCGAGTGTTCCATTTATGCGTACTCTTCTTTATCTGATATGCCTGATTTTTGCTCCGGACTTATTTTTGATGGTTGAGGCTGCCCGTTTGGTGCCAACGAATTATATTATTATGCCTTGTTGTGTTTTACTGTTTCTCTTAAACGCGTATAGGGAGTATCTCTTTTTCTACTTTACATACAAGGGTAGTGTATTTTCACCAGACACCCCCTTGTACAAGAAGATATGGTTTGTATACTCGTATACGTTATTTGTCCCACCTATTCTTTTTATACTTTACCCGATTGTGCCATTTACTCTTCAGTGCATTTTACTCTTTCTGCTACCGGTCGGTTTCATTCTGGTATTTATTGCACACATTTTTATCCCTCTGGATCCCTCTTCAGAAGAAGGCTTTCAAAAGGGATCTGAAAATGAGAAGAGTGATTGATTGAATGAATGAATGATTGATTGGTTGATGGGATTACTTGGGTGATTTGATTAAACATGAAAGGGGAGACGGACACTCGCAAAAGTGTAAAGAAAAGAGGAAAAAAAAAAGAGAATAGTAGGGGACGAGAAGAAGAAAGAGTTGAAGGTGGTTGGAAGAAAAAACAAAAAAACGAAGAATTCTCAATGTTAACAGTTCCCAGATATCATAGGGTGATACAAGCCCGGATAAAATACACATAGACACGATATAGGTGCGTGAAAGGGAGGCAAAGGAACAACAAAAAACAAAACAAAAAAAAAAAAAACAAAAAAAAACGAGCTGACAAAGCAAGAAAGCAGAACCAAATAAAAGCGTTTGAGCCACTTTTCTTTTGTAGCTATTTTCTTCTACATTAGTAGAAAACTACTATTTTTTATTCTTTCTGCATTTTTGTTGTTGATGCTGTTGCCGCTGGTGCCATTACACGTGCTATCAAGCGGTTAAGGAGCGAAGATATTTAATACATCTATCTTGATGTTCCTTCCCCATTCACTTTCTTCTTTTATTCTCGTTCGTAGCATATTCATCGATTAACGCAGTCGAAGAAATATATATATATATATATATATATATATATATATAT